TGTATATATATATATATATATATATATATATATATATATATATATATATATATATATATATATATATATATATATATATACTTGTTGCAAGTGAAGTTGTATCCTCCTTTGCAGGCTCCTTTCCATTTCTTGGGAGGAGGGCCGAAACCTTTGTCGTTGAAACTCTCCGACTCGGGCCAGATTCCGGTATCGATGACACCGATGATTGTGTCACTTTCCATGGTTGGATTTCGTTTCGCATTTGGAGCAAGTCCCATATAATCCCATGATCTTGTTGTTTGAGTGTGAAATGTCGTACTGGGAAAAATCGAGACGACTTGTTCATGACCTGATCGAGTTGGCATCGTTTTCAGACAAAAGGAATTACAATTCCGAACAAAATATGTAAGAACGGAGCAAGATTGGAAGAAATATTACCGGCTAGCTTTTCCTTCTCTTGAGGTGTGAGGTAGGCTGCGAAACCGTTGAAACTCCTCGTATAACTTCTCACCAACGATTTCGTCACGAACCTTTCGGAAATACAAGTATTTATATTATTAGTAAATGTATTCAATATTTTCTTTTCTGCATAAAGTTATATATTTATACGTAATTAATTACCTGCTGTCAACAACGTCGTTGAGCATGTTGAAATGGTACGACGGAAGCGACTGAGTAGCTTCTGCAGGAAGATGCCCCATGTACACTATGTAAACCTTTCGATCTTCGTCTGCTGCGAGAACTTGGAGAGAGCAGCTCGAAATCAGAACGAAAACGAGAAGCGCCAGGTTGGATAACCGATGAAGAAAGAAATTAGCCATGGTTGTAATTTTAATTAACTTGTAATGAAATGCTGAGATGTAATTGCAGTGATATAGCTACTGATTTTCATGCCTATATATAACTGGTTGATTTTCTTCTGTTCACAAGAAAATTAATGCACCTATTATTTTTGAGTGGTTAATAGGTTTATAGGACTGATTACTACATTTGTTATCCTTAGTGCTAAATTTAACTATTTTTCGATACGTGAGACGTGTTCTAATTCTCACATCGTTGTCGAGGATTCGTAATTATTTATATATGTAATAAGGTGATATTCTTTCTCGAGAAATTCTATGGAAGAAAGCAAAAATAGTAAAACTCATGCATGTCATTTTCTTGCATATGCACATATATATGTTCTTGTAAGTTGTAAACGTAAGATATACAAAGTGGCAGAGCCAGTATAGGGTCGGGGGCCGTGGCCCCCCAATATTTCTTAAATCTCTATTATTTTATATAAAAAAAATAAAATGTCTAATAAAATTAACGACACCCCTTCGCCCTCAGGGATTTTTTTGAAGGCATTCGGCCTCCCGGGATTTAAAATTCTGGCTCGGCAAATGGATATCCAGACGAAACTCACATTATTTTGAAGTAGGAAAGTTTGAAAGAATGGAGCAATAAGTTAGATGAATAAAACAAACTCAAATGGAATTAAAATTAATAATGGACTTATCTAGTTAATTATTCTCTTTTCCTTTAAAGTGTGTATGTTGATACTAACAGGTTACATAACATTTATGAAATAAAAACAAGCATATGATAGATTTATAAAACCACTCCCATTTTTTAAAACATATTTAAATTCCAACAAAAATCACAGGGGTATTTTTGTCAATTTCAGTTGATCAACGGCTAGTTTGAATTTCGGGGCAGTGAGCTCAAGAAATAAAACCCAAATTTCAGTATTATGATATAATCGATTCCGATAATGATCAAAATCACAAAAAAATTATTCAATAACTCCGTCTAAGAATCGAAAAAATTATCCGGAAAAACGACGATCGGACTGCGAACAAGATGGACACCATCAGACCATTCCAACGAAGCCGAAAGCATTTTCCCATAATCAATCTTCCCACTGACAACAACTTCAAACGTTTTCTTCTCATTAGTCGCCGCAAATGTCAGAACACTAGGTGTCACCGATATATTATAACCGGGGCCCGCGCTCGCCGTCGCCTTGTACGTCGATTTTCCAGCTCCGACATTCGTCACCGTTCTCGTGAATTTCTCCGAAAAAGTTACAGCACTTTTACTTCCTTTGGCAGTCTTGATTTGACTGGTCATCGAAGGGTAGTTCAGATCCTTGATCGTCGTCGCCGGTTTCGCCGGACAGGTGGTGTTTGCTTTAAACATATTCTTAATTGTCGCAGAGTCGTATCCTAAGTTGCAGAGAAATGTTATATAATCCTGTGTTGATGTTTCGTACACAAGGCCCGCATCCACAGCCTTTATCGGGTCGATTTGACCCGCACCGTATGCAAACTCTGCATATTGATCCTTTGTCGGATCCAATTTCCTGGCTATACACACACAAGAACCATATTTAATAAACGGTAGTAGAACCTCGATAAATTAATACTCGATAAATTAATAGCATCGATTAAATAATAGTTTCTCTCAGTCCCGACTCGGGTGAAAACGTGTTAAATTATTAACTAGATAATTTAATAATTCGCTAAATTAATAGAAATTTCCCTAGTCTCGACTGTACTAATTTATAGAGGTTTCACTGTAGTTATAACATGAGTAAATTGTAATTAGTACCCGATGTGTTATTTCACAAAAAGTCCCTATGTTAAAAAAACTAACAAAAAAGTCCCTCCAGGTAAAATGACATAAATACCCCTAAACATAAATTCACTCGCGGAGTTTTTACTAGTTTTTTTAACACATGGATTTTTTTCTGCATACCGAAATAACACACGGGTACTAATTGCAATTTACTCCTTAAAAATTTGAAATATGAAGTTATATAGTTACCAGTCGTCATAAGAGCTGATTTGATTGCCGATGGCGACCAATTGGGGCGGAATGATTTTACGTAAGCAGCTGCTCCGGCGACATGTGGGCAAGACATTGATGTTCCGGATATTATATTGTAGTTCACCGACCGGTGATCGGAATCGTATTCCGACGGCGAAGCTAGTGGCGAATATGCCGCAAGGATTTCCATGCCAGGTGCTGTTATATCCGGCTGCATTTATATATACACAAATTAAATATCATTCACCATTGATTGATTAAATTTCTATTGTCGTAAATATTTTGGTATACCTTGAGAATATCTGGAATTATGGTACTCGGTCCTTTCGACGAAAAGCCGGCCACACGAGGGGCGTCAAGATTTTTCGTAGTTTCACTGGTCAAAATGTTCACTTCCGAAGATCTGCGATAAAAGATTTGGTTTTTATTTTTCAATCACAAAAAATGGACTAATGAACATTTAATAAATAAATTAAAATCATTTATTTAGTTTGATGTTTAACTACTTTGTGGAGTTGAAGTAGCCTTCGACGACGTTGAAGTCTTTCCTTTTCAAACCAATTGCAGCAATCGGAGCAACGTCGGAATCGTCGTCCACCTCGTTATCCGGTAAAAACGATTCCTCGTTGAAAATAATTCCGAGGGCCCCAGCATTGTACACTTCGAACGTGAAGTCGTACATTCTGCATAGGACAATCTTGCCCTTCACTAGACTTGGCACAATACAGTCTGGTGCACAATCCCTGAAAATTCAATTAAAAAAAATAGCAACAAATTTAAATTTTTTTTGGTTGCTATATTTGTATTAACTGATGCTGGATAAAGCAGGGTTCTTTTTTGGGCTTACATAGCACTACTTTCGTTGCATTTAATTGTGACATCTTTTCCATACGCTAACGGAAAACTTTTCCCCTCGAAGTCAAACGAATTCACGGATTTCCCCTGTAAAAAAATACGATATCGAATATATCAACCATTTAATCAACTAAATTATAGCAATGAGAATACACACACACACACACACACACACACACACACACACACACACACACACACACACACACACACACACACGCGCGTACGTACAGTCAATATAGATCCATTTCCAAGGGCAACTCTGGTAATAATCCCTCTATCGGTGCTACTAGCACCGACGGAGAAAATCCAAGGCGCAACACTAGCGACAGTAGCTTTGGCCGCTCCATTTCCAGCAGATTGCACCACCAAAACCCCGTGTTGTGCTGCATGGAACGATCCAATTGCAATTACGTCGGATTTCAATTCCAACGGGTCTCCACCGAGTGAAATCGTGATTATATCAACTCCATCTGCTATAGCATCGTCCAGCGCAGCTAGTAAGTCCACCGCGCCGCACGAGTCCTTGTGGCAAACTTTGTACACCGCGATTCTAGCGGAGGGGGCCCCGCCCCTGGCGGTCCCCTCCGCTATACCGTAGAAACTAGCCCCCCTCACGGGGACCCCGGCCGCTATAGAGGATGTGTGGGACCCGTGGCCGACGTTGTCTCTGGCAGTTGTATCGTTCGGTGACATAGTGTTGTAGTAACGAGCCCCTATTATTTTGCTGCAAAACACAAAAAAATTATGTACTTTTTCACTAAATAAATTTCCGGGTTTTTTTTTTTTTAATTATGAGAAAAAAAAACAAATTATACTTGTTGCATGTGAAGTTAGTTCCTCCGCTGCAAACTCCTTTCCATTTCTTAGGAACGGGGCCGAAACCTTTGTCGGTGAAACTCTGTGATTCGGGCCAAATTCCACTATCAATGACACCAATTATGGTGTCACTTTCGATAGTGGGATTTCGAGTGACATTTTCCGGAAATCCGATGAAATCCCACGATCTTGTTGTTTGAAGCTTATAAGTCGTACTAGGGAAAATCGATACAACTTCTTCGTGACCTGAAATAAATTCTCGAAAGAGACGAGAGATTATTAGCTTAAAAAATCTCAGAGAAAATAACATGCAATAATAAGGGATGTTAATTTACCAGCCAACTTTTCGTGTTCTTGTGGTGTGAGATAGGCTGCAAAGCCGTTGAAACTCCTTTTGTAACTTCTCACCAAGGATTGCGCCGCAAACCTTTTCAGAAAAAACGTATATACAACGAAACAGATTCAATATTATATATCGTTTTGCTCGACACAAATATCAATAAAGAACTTTAATAAAAAATAATAACCTGCTACCAACAACTTCTTCAAGCATTTTAGTGTGGTATGCCTCAGCTGATCGATTCGTTGCGACAAGATTTCCCATGTACACTATGTAAACCTGTTTCAGAGGAAGCCAAATATTTTTTTAAGAAATAAAAAATTTAAAGTCTCAGAAAAGAAAAAAAAAGATTTTTTACTAGCCTTTCTTTCATCATCTGAACCGTGACTTGGGGTTATCAAAGCCAGAGAACAAATAACAAACAAGATTGAAATTTTGGAAAAATCGAAGCGTGTAGCCATTGTTGTACTGAGTAATACAAGAATAATGAACTCTATTACCACACATATATATACTCTGCCTTTCGATCCCATTCTTGCTACTACATTATCGTAATCTGATATTGCAGGTTTAGATTCTTTCAAATTTTGAAAATATAAAAATAAAAATTCTGCTTTTTGAAATCACATTGCAACGAGTTTGACTTCGTGGGCAGGTGCAATAAAATAAGCATGTTTGCTAAATTTATTTTGGTGAATTAGCAAAATCTGATCTTGGTCTGCAGATTTTGGCTTCATTTTTTTCGTATTCACCATTCACTTACTATTAAATGCTCGAGACTTGAAACTTATTAAGTTTTTTGCAGCAGAACTTGTATACGAGATAGCGAATGTATTGAATTCTTGATAATGGTAATTACTATGTATGAATGCACATTCGATGAATATATCAGCAATTTAGCAATACCTCGATGATCACTTTTCATGATTTGTTGGCGGATTTATTCTCCTTGATTTCCTTCAAAATCCTGTCCGCCTCGATTAATTGCAACAATCTTTACCATCGAGCATACGGTAATTTCTGCACTCGGATGCACTAGCAGATTCAGTGTAAACAATCAATTATCGATTATAAGCCTTAACATCGGATTTATCGACAGTCTTCTCCAATAACAAAAGCAAATTACGGGCAGTAAGAACATGTCTAGCTTTGCAGAGCCCATCTATCACCGTAAGAATCGTAACATCATTTGTTGAATGTCGTAACATTTGCCTTGTAACCGTGTCTAACGAAGCTGCCAAAGATGGAAAAACCAATGTCTAAACGGTTCAAAATGCAACAACAGTTAATCAAGATATTCATCGTGTACCCATCTAAAGGGCACCCCCATTGACGCATTTCATCGAACACATAAAGGGCAACCTGGGTATTGTTTCTTCTTGGCAACAACTTGCAATAGTTTCTCGAATTCAAAGACAGAAGGCTGTGGCCGCATTCCCACCATTTAACGAATCAAGAAAACAGTATTTTTTTTTAATTAACATTTATTTTATTTTATTTGTGATAATTTCTATAGTTTCGTATATTTTTCTACAACGTTTATAATTATTATTTTGAAGTCCAATTATTTATAAACCTTTGTTTTTTTCCACCCACCATCTTTCCCGCCAATTTCAAAGTTAAAATAGTTTATTGTAATTCATCCATATATCCCTATTTGGTTGTGTATTGCCTTTTTCATATAAAATGTTTGGGTCCATTTGATATACACCCTTAATATGGAAAATATATAGGGATAGGTTTACCCCTAAAATTCTTCATTTGAGATAACCCCCTGGAGAGACAAAAGTACTATTGTGCCCTTATATCCAATTTTTGCCCAACTGCATTCAGTATTTTTGCTAACTGCATTCAGCATTATGGTCAACTACAATTAGCATTTAGACCTGCATTTATCATATTATCAGATTTTTTTAATAAAAAATTATAAATTATTTTTTTATTATTATTTTTTATATATACCTCTGTTGTATTTTTAATTTTTTAATTTTTTTAATTTTTTAAAATTGTTTAATTTTTTGTAATTTTTTAATTTTTTTAATTTTTTTAAATTTTAATTTTTTTAATTTTTTTAATTTTTAATTTTGTTTCAATTTTTTGATAAATTTACTGTATTGAAATTGACTACACATGACTATTGTATATATATTACATATGATTATATAAAAAAACTTCATCTACACCAAAAACAAAAATTCACAATTTAAATCTTGATATTACAAATTAATTAATACCCAACAAAAAATTGGAAAAACACAATCATCAACATCACTATATATCAGAAAAAACACATAACTTATATAGCTTATATATAACAATATGTATTACTACGAGTTACTACATGTGACTATATATAACTACATGTATATGACTACACATGACTATATATGACTACATGTATATGACTACACGTGATATATATGATTACATGTATATGACTACACGTGACTATATATGACTATATTTATATAACCACGTGTCGCTGTATGACTTGATAACGCAAATTTCTCCTACACTGAAACAAGTACAGCCAAGTTACGATCGGGAAAAACATTCTGCAATTGCATTACCCATGCTCTTATTGGGAAAAAAAAAACCATAAATAAAAAATCGTTAGAAACATGGTAAAAAAAATTATTTAAACGAAACTAGAATTCACACGAGCCTATGGCAAAAAACTATTAAACCTTTCCATCAAAAGAAATGCAAGAAGGAGGGCTCAAGCTTGTATACTCATTTTATCTGCTTCTTTCTCTCTCCGTAATACGGATTTTTCATCATCCTGCACAACAAAATTTCATATGTCAAAGACACTGTGTATAACATATAAATTTGAACACTATCTCATCGAGCACAAATATTTTTCGTCGGCTCGATTAGCCAAAAAGATAGAACACATAAGAGAAATCCCATCCACTTGATCCTCAAATTTCAAACCATCGATTCAAAATATTGATCAAAATTGCACAATAATATATGCATATGTTCTTCAACAAACTAACAAATCATCATCATCATCACTCTACATTAAAAAAAAAAAACACATAATCCAGACATGACTATATGTTACTATATATGACTAAGACATGACTATATGTTACTATATATGACTATAGTAACATGTAGTAACATTACTATATATGACTATAGTCATCCATAGTGTCCTATAGTCTGAATGAATTTCACTTCATAGCACAATTTTCTCCATAATTCCTTACTGTATAGAAGTAGCAAAAACAACAATCCATGTGACAAAAAAATACGAGTTAGAGAAAAAGAACATAAAAATGGAAAATGCAATTATGCACATTTGAGAGTTGACTTTTAAGGACATAATAACCATTAGACACTTCAACCAATAACAGAGAAAACCACATCATTTGCATCTTCAAACTCCAAACCTACATTGAGTGTCTCTATTTTGTTTGGAAGCAAAGAAACACAATAAGATCGGACTTCTGATTCCCACATTACACTTAAAAATAGTGTTCTCAACAAAATAAAAAATAAAATCCTAGATCTAGTGTATTTCACCAACAATCAACCATAAATAAACATGTATGATGCTTAATATATACACACATACACACGTTTTAATGCGTGTAATATGTAAGTAGAGAAGAACTGTAAGAGAGTGTACCAGAGAAGGGTGATTTAAGATCACTGAAATCGATGTCGAGAATAAAAAAAAAAGTATTTGAAATCGGATCAATAGTTTCTCAGTAGCGGCGGCGATTGGAGGGGTCCAAGGCGAACGGATCCGCCGGAGAAGAACGGATCTATGAGGTTTGAACATGTCCGACGCCATTGATACGACACCGTTCTTCATCTTCTCCGTCGAATCGAAGAGCGGCGCTTGCGAAATCATGCGGATTTGCGAAGGGTGGATCGCCAGCGACGACGGCGGCTTTCCCTTCTCTAAGATGAGATGGTTTGGATTTTTTTTTTTTTAAATTGTGTGAAGATGGTTGCGGCGGCGACGACGTGTATGGAGGTGGGCGGCGGTTGTGGACACGGGGTCGGATTCATACAGGGGGGTGTGGTCGGAAAATATAAAGGGATTGATTATTGCTTTATGGTCCATCATCTTAATCGGTGCAATTAAGAAAATGGATTTAACAAAGCTAGTGCTTCTGGTGTCAGGGTAATAAAATTCTACCTAATTTCTAGATGGTGGAGCAGTTCTTGGAGGCGGAGGGGATGTGGGTGGGGAGAAGATTAGGGTTTATCTGGATAATCAAATGAGAGAGATCGGGAATGACCTTATTTCTCAAAAACTGCATATTAGCCTATTAAGGGTAAATCAGTCGTATCACACGGTCTCAGAGGGTCTGACAAATTAAGATCAAAATTTGGGTTTTTGACTAGGGTAGAAAAAAGAGTAAACTGCAAATACTACCCCTGTGTTATCTCGAAATAGCAAAAACCCCCCTGTGATAAAAAAACTAGCAAAAACCTCCCCGGGAAAATTATGTAAATAGCAAAAACCCCCCTATGGAACTATTTGAGGGTTGACTTGATATAAAAAGACACAAATACCCCCGGAGTCTTGCAATTAATAAATTCTTATATTTTATAAATATTTTAATTATTTTATTTAAAAAATAATCAATTTAGTTGTTTACTATTTTTTTTTTAATTTCTAAACAAATAAATTAAAAAGAATAAATATACATATAATATGTATATATATAAATACATTTTGAGGGACAATTTTGTCATTTCAAGTCTAAAAAATCAGCTAGGGGGGATTTTGCCTTTGACTAAATTTCACAGGGGGGTTTTTGCTAGTTTATTTATCACAGGGGGGTTTTTGCTATTTCGAGATAACACAGGGGTAGTATTTGCAGTTTACTCGTAGAAAAAATCATTGGACCTCCTCTTATATATTTTCAAAACTAGGGGGTTATCACTCATTTACCCAAAATGTTTATATATTTATCTAAAACCTTACATTTTACATAATAAATAATTAAATAACATAATATACGAAGATGGAAAGCTTTTCAATACTAATTTTTTTTGTAGTAAAAATAAATTCAAAATCTTTTGTTAGAAGATAATCATACAAAATATTATTTGATTGTGTAAAATATACTCACCATCTCATATTAAAAAATAAATCAGCAATTTAGCAATGGAAAAAAAAAAATATGCATTGACAAGATTAAAGCATAGAATTGTCATCTAAGAAATTATCGGGATACACAACGATCGGACTACGAACTTTATGAACACCATCAGACCATTCCAACGAAGCCGATACCATTTTCCTATAATCGACTGTCCCACTGATAACAACTTCGAATGTTTTCTTCTCATTAACCTCGGCAAATGTTAGAGCACTAGGTACCACCGAGATATTATAAGCGGGACCCGCGCTCGTCGTCGCCTTGTACGTCGAATTTCCAGCTCCAACGTTCGTCACGGTCCTCGTGAATTTCTCCGAAAAAGGCACAGCACTTTTACTTCCTTTGGCAGTCTTGATTTGACTAGTCATCGAAGGGTAATTGAGATCCTTAATCGTCGTCTGCGGTTTATCCGGACAGGTGGCGTTTGCCTTAAGTAGCTTCGCTATCGTTGCGGACGTGTATCCCATGTTGCAAAGGAAATTTATGTAATCCCCTTGTAATGTTTCGTAAACGAGGCCTGGATCCAACGCTTTTATTGGGTCGATGTGACCCGCTCCGTACGCGAATTCTGCTAGTTCATCCTTCTTCGGATCCATTCTCCATGCTATATATATATATATATATATATATATATATATATATATATATATATATATATATATATACATACAGTTAAACCTCTATAAATTAATACTATCGAGACTTGGGACTAAGGAAATTCTATTAGGGTCCATTTGGATGGAGGGATTTTGGGAGGGATTTGATTTGGGGAATGGATTTGAAATGACTCCAATTTTGGAGTCATTTGAAATCCATCACTATTGCTCCAAAATCAACTAAAAATGAGGGGTGGGGATTTGAAATCCATCTCCAAATCCCTCAATCCAAACAAGTCGGAGGGATTTGTTATTATGGATTTGAAATCCCTCCCCCAAATCCCTCCATCCAAATGCACCCTTAATTTAGCGAATTATTAAATTTATAATAATTTAATCGAGGTTATTAATTTCTCGAGGTTTTACTGTATATGTATGTATGTGCACAAGAAGCATAATTAGAATATAAAATTTTCAAATATGGAGTAAAGTTTAAAAAATAAAAAAAATACCAGTTGTCATAAGAGCTGATTTGATTGCGGAAGGCGACCAATTGGGATGGAACGATTTGACGTAAATAGCTGCTCCGGCGACATGTGGGCAAGCCATTGATGTTCCGGAAAGTACCGTGTAATTCACCGATCTGTGATCTTTATCGGTATCCGACGGTGAAGCTAACGGTGAATACGCAGCTAGTATTTCGATTCCAGGTGCCGTCACATCTGGCTGTACTTGCACATATACATATATATACGTGTGCATGTGTATACATAGATTCCATTACCGATACCGTTAACGCGACCACGTAAATTGTAAATAAAAACGAAAAATTGCGGTACCTTCAAAATATCCGGAACGATGACATTCGGACCTTTTGAAGAAAATCCAGCAACTCGAGGAGCATCAAGATTTCTTACAGTTTCACTTGTCTGTATGTTCACTTCCGAAGATCTGCGATAATTTTTTTTTTTAAATTCTTTTTAATATTTATATTTTTTAACTAGAAAAAATGTTATAAATAAGGTGATATGATGTTACTTTGTAGAGTTGAAGTAGGTCTGGATCGAATCGAAGTCTTTCGCCTTCAGACCGGCTGCCGCTAGTGGAAGAACATCGGAAACATCGTCTACCTGAACCTGCGGTAGAAACGTTTCGTGTAAAAAAACCGTTCCGATCGCTCCGGCTATGAATACTTCGTCGATGAAGTCGGAGAGTCTGCAGAGCACGATTTTTCCCTTCACTAAACTCGGCTCCAAACAATCCTCGTAACAATCCCTAAAATAAATTCAATAAGAAATTAGGATTCGTTATGTTACTACTAAATATTTGATCAATAAACAAAAATCATACATGGCATCGTCTTCGTCGCATTTGCGCGAGACTTCTTTTCCGTACGCCAACGGAAAACTCTTCCCGTTTAAGTTAAACGAGTTCACCGACTTTCCCTGTTGAAAACAATGTACGATTTCGTTAGTTAGAATAGAATTAAAAAAAAAACAGATGAATATATACATACATATATACATACCGTTAATACGGTTCCGTTTCCGAGAGCGACTTTGGTGACAATCCCTCGATCGGTACTGCTAGCACCGACCGATAAAATCCAAGGGGCAAGACTCACGGCATATCCCTTTCGGGCATTGTTCCCGACGGACTGCACCACCAAAACCCCGTGTTGAGATGCATGCAGTGATCCGATTGCAATGGAGTCGGAATCGAGAACCAAAGGTTGTTCCCCTCCGGCGGAGATTGTGATGATGTCGACTCCATCAGCAATGGCGTCGTCGAACGCAGCAAGTATGTCCACCGGGTTGCAACCGTTTGCACGGCAGACTTTGTACACCGCGATTCTTGCGGAGGGGGCCCCGCCTCTAGCGGTCCCGTTCGCCACCCCGTAGAAGCTGGCACCAGCCACGTGGGCCCCTGCTGCCGTCGATGCTGTGTGGGACCCGTGGCCGTCGTTGTCTCTGGCGGTTGTGTCATTGGGTGACTTGATGTTGTAGTACCGAGCCCCGATTATTTTGCTGCAAAATCAAGAAATACTTTTTCGTTTATTTTTTTTAAACTATTTTTTACGATGGGAAATACGAGGAAACGATGTTGTACTTGTTGCATGTGAAGTTGTTTCCGCCTTTGCAAGCTCCTTTCCATTTCTTCGGAACAGGGCCGAAACCCTTGTCGTTGAAACTGTCGGATTCGGGCCAGATTCCGGTATCTATTACACCGATAATAGTGTCGCTCTCGACAGCGGGGTTTCGGTTGACATTTAATGCGAGCCCCATGAAATCCCAAGATCTCGTTGTGTGGAGTTGAAAAGGTGTATCAGGGAAAATCGACACGACTTCTTCGTGGCCTATATGAATGAAACGACAGAGTGTCGGAAGTAACAAGATTTTACCTCTAAAAATTATAAAAAAAAAATCTAAGACGAAAAATTAATAACATTCAAGAAGAAATTTACGAGCCAATTTGTCTCGCTCTTGGGGCGTGAGATAAGCTGCAAATCCGTTGAAACTCCTCGTATAACTTCTCGCTAAAGAATGCGGCAGAAACCTTTCAGAAAGTAGACGTAATTATTGAATATAGATTCAATGTATTGCTTTTTCTTGAAATATTACATAAAAATAATAAATCTATAAAAGCACATAATATATATATTACCTTCTGTCGACAACTTCTGCAAGCATTTTCATATGGTATGACTCGGTCGGTTGATTTTTCGCAATGATATTTCCCATGTACACTATGTATAACTGTTTCGGAGGAAAACAAATACATGGAATCGGTTACGTTTTTCATGTTTGTTATAAATTAGCCGTTATCGAATTAAAGCATAACAAAAACAGAAATAACTACACAATTTTTTATGTTTTCTAACCAAAAACTCATGGTCGTATACGCTTCCATCGAAATACATTGAGATGTATAAAATTTATCGAAAACTATTTAATAAAATTAAAAAAAAATATTGAAAAAAAGGAACTAGCCTTTCGTTCTTCATCTGAACCACGACTCGGTGTCATCAAAGCGAAAGAACAAAGAACTAGCAAGATTGAAATCCCGGAAAACCCGACGAGTCGAGCCATTGTTGTATGAATAATACAAGAATAAGGAACTCTATACCACACATATATATATATATGCTTTGCTGCTAAATTATTGTAATCTGATAATTCAGTTTCAGTTGCTTTTAGAAATCACATTGCAACAAGTTTGACTTTGTCAGAAGGTTCGGTGAATATATTTTCGAATTAGCAGACTCTAATGTTGGTTTGAAGATTCTCGGATTAATTTTTAACGATCATCGTTCACTTACTAGTTGCTGTTTGGGACTTGCAACTTTTAAGTTTTGGTGACTACAGAATTTGAATGTGTGATTACCAAGTGATTGATTAAGTCTCAATTAGTTACTATTTTTTTTTTTTTTACATTTTGTTGAATCTATTAAGGGATTTTTTGGTTTCAAAGATGGGATTAATGAAATTGGATTGCATTTTGCAAGGATTTTGAGCATTGCATAATATTTGAGTAACAAATATTTGGATTGTTGGATTGAACTTTTTCGTGTTTCGATTAATTTGTCCATCACAGGCTACACACTACCAAAAAAACAAACAAAAAAATATAGGGGATATTTGGTACGTTTCGTAATTGAGGAGTGTGTTTTGCGATATATCCAATAATTTAGGGGTACAAAGTGAAATTTGCATTTAATTTATTATTGGAGCGGGAAAGTTCCAGGGGGTCGGGGCAAAATTCAGTTATATTTGTTGAATTTCCGAATTCCGAATTCCCAAATTCGAAGCCCTAATTCTTCGAATCTCTGCATCTTCTTCTCCAACGAATTTTTTCAGAGCATAAAATAAAATGCAATCATGTTGCTATCACCAGGCAATTCCCCCGTTCATCTCTCAACTCCTTCACCCGCCCCTTGTTTCTACTTCCACTCCCGATTTCGCCACCCGCAAGCGCCGCCGTAGCCCCGCTGTGTTAGACGAGGACTCCTACGTCGCCGCCGTCGAGAAAATCATCGATCGAGACTTCTTCCCCGGACATCCCCAAGCTGCGCGATCGCCTCGAGTGGCTGCAAGCTGTTCGCTCCGAGACGCCTAGCTCAAAATCCTCGAACGCCGCCGCGTACGGAAGGGCGGCGGTCCTGCCGCCGAAGCTTCCCTCCGTTTCGTGCTTTATCCGTAATCATTCTGCGACTCCATCCTTTTATAGTGATGGTAAAGAGAATCTGTTAGTGATGAAATTTCCGGTAGTGGTGATGGAGAAGAAGCAAACGTGGATGTTTCGTTGCCACTTGATGACTTCTTCAGGAAGTACACGAGTGAGGATAACGAGAGCTTCTCAAAAATCATCGAGAAAGTGAATAGGAAGAGGAAGGAGAAGCATGGGTATTTGTGGGAACGTGACCCAACCGAGTCGATCGAGAATGGAAATAAACGAGAGATATGTGCTACCGATGGATACGGAACATCAAATCAGCCATCGAGTACATTGGAAGGGTGGAAATACACAGCCAATAACTTATTGATGTACCATCCAGCCGATAGAGGGGAGGCACCATTGACTTAAGAAGAAAGAGCCTTGAGGCTAAAAGGGTTGACAAAGGAGATTAGAAGATCAAACACACGATTCCATGCAAAAGAAATGGATGCTAATTGCTAACGAATCGAACGATGAAGACAATATCGCAGTGCTTTACACACCTACCGGTTGGGCTATCCCTGTTCAAATATCGAGTAGAGATAGTGATAAGTTAAAAATACGATTTGGAGGAGTTGATGCGGACCCCAGATAGATTCTACGTGGAATCCGTGAAAAGGCGGACAATGGATATAGTTTCGTGAAAACACCTTCACCTGCTCCAGGTGTTGATGAGTCACCATTTATAACATGGGGCGAAATCGAGGGAACACCGTTGCGGCTAGAGGCAGAGGACACACCGATTGATATAGGTGGGCCCCAGTTTAAAATCCCGATGCCGCCTTCGAGGGATGCAAAGCCACATTCTTTGTCGAGAGACGCTGCAAAGAAGCAAAGGGAGAAGTCTAAGATGTTTCAGAAACCACCGTTGCCTTCGCCTGTTAGAGGTGGAAGTGCAAGTCCGGGTGCAAGAAAGCTTTCTTCCGCCGCAAGGAAGTTTATGACGGATGCGATTGCAAACTCTTCGCATTCTATTGATGAATCTCTAAGAGCGAGTTACCGAAGTTCGAGCCCGGGTTTGGGTACTCCTAAAAGTGGGAGGAGTATGTCTAGGCTGGGGAGAGACGTCATCAGTTTGGATTCTAGATCGCCCTCTGTCAGAGAAGGTTCTGTTTAGTCAGTTCTTACATGGAACATAAGCCGTTCATTATTTGCTGGTGGTTTTACTTAAATCACGTCTCGTGTTTCTCACGATCGAAGTATTCGTGTTTATTTAATTCGGGAAGGGTGAAAGTTATGTGATTCATAAGATTTGCTGTTCTCTTGATCCTTGGTTGTTGTGCTAAAGGCATTAGATTCAAGATACTAAATATAGGATTCTGTATATCTTACTGTCGTGCAGTTTTACTGTACTATTGAAATTAATGTTAATTGGGATGTATAATATCATTTTTCCCCCTTTAAAATAGGCGAAGCTGTCCTGTAATGACAGATAAAGATTATATCTCAGCCTCTGCTTCTGACTGGTTCTCCATTCTTCGTGCATAATGTCTATCAACCCAACTCATTTTAGGTATGTGTATATATATGTATACATATATTTATATATATATATATATATATATACACACAGACACACGTATCATATGTCTTGTGGTGCCAAGATTTACTTTCTTTATCTTACCATCATTTTCCTGTACATCTCTCCAAACATTTCTACCTTTACGGCAAGGAGAAAACAAAACGAATCACTGGTACAAATAATGTTCCAGCGATTCGTTTTTTCGTACATATAAAAATATATAAACAAAAAATTAAAAAAAAAAAAAAAAAATCTGGCTAGGAAGATAAGCAATGGCATTTGGTAATAACAAGTCGTCGATTATTCTCCTTCTTCTCTCTATGATATATTTTGTCACCCTTATCCCAAAATCGCATGCTGCAATTGCAAAGTACGACGACTATTTGCGTAAAAAGGCTAACGAGTCATTTGCGGAGTCGTTGAAGGCATTTGACCCCAACCCTGAAAAAGTAGCCGATGAATTGAATGAACAAGTTGGCGAGTAAGTCTCCCTTGCAATAAGCATGCATTAAATATTTTATCATTTCAAGATCATTAAAAAGATTATTTCATGAAATCTATTATTACGCAGGACTTTGGTACACGAAAATCTATCAAGAAGACACCTCAAAGAAGAAAACGACTGCAAGGCCACAAACCCCATCGACCGATGCTGGCGGTGCGACGGCGACTGGTCCAAGAACCGTAAAAAGCTGGCCGAATGCGTACGCGGATTCGGCCACCGCACCACCGGGGGCAAAGACGGAAGATACTATTTAGTCACCGACCCGTCAGATGATGACATGGACAAGCCCAAGAATGGGACCCTCCGCCACGCTGTCATCCAGTCGGAGCCACTGTGGATAATATTTGCCCGCAGCATGGTCATCCGTCTTAAGCAGGAGCTCATATTCGCTAGCGACAAGACGGTCGACGGGCGGGGCGTACGGGTCCGGATCGCGTACGGGGCGGGTCTCACGCTCCAGTTCGTCCACAATGTGATAATCCATAATATAAGGATCCATAATATTGTCTCGACGCCAGGTGGCATGATAAGGGACGCGGTGGACCACATAGGGCTGCGCACGGTCAGCGATGGTGACGGCATCAATGTCTTCAGCTCGAACAATATATGGATAGACCATGTTTCGCTGTCTAAAGGGACCGATGGCCTCATTGATGTCATCGAGGGGTCCACCGCTATCACCATCTCCAACTGTAAATTCAACAACCACAACACTGTAAGTTTTTTTCGAGAAACGCTAAACCTTACATTCAAATTAGAGGTGAAAATCGGATGGATTGGATCGAAATTCGCACTTTCAGAAAAATTCTATTTTTTTTTCTTTTTCAGTCCAAAAAAAATTATTTGGAATGAAAATTCTTGTTCATTTGAATTAATTCGAATTAGTGATTTCCAAAAAAAAATCGGAAAAATATAAAATTGGAATGAAAATACTTGTTCCAAAATTGGAAATTTTCGGACTGGAGTCGGCGTAACTCAGAATTTCCAATTTCTTTTAGGTCACTTGTTATATAAAATACATAATAATATTGACAATATTGATCATGCAATTTCTTTTATTTTTATGTACGAGGCAGTGACCTGTAATTTGATTATACAAGAGGGGTACAAATGAAATTAACCAATTTTTTTTTCCTTGGTGGATTGATATTATAGGTGATGCTATTGGGAGCACATGATAATAGTACTAAAGATACGATCATGCAAGTCACAGTGGCATTCAATCGGTTCGGAAAAGGTTTGGTACAGAGAATGCCGAGGTGTCGTTGGGGTTTCTTCCACGTCATCAACAACGACTACTCAAAGTGGCTAATGTACGCCATCGGGGGTAGCTCCAACCCCACCATCATCAGCCAGGGTAATCGCTTTAAGGCCTCCGATAATCCATTCACCAAACAGGTACATATATAAAAAGAAAATCAAAAATTTTAAAAATAACAACTGCTACTTTTCACACGTATATTTATACCAGATACACGATAGTTATGAATTAATTTTATTCAAAATTAGGTGACGAAGAGGGAGTCTACAGAGAGCGAATGGAAGAAATGGCAGTGGCGGTCGGAGGGTGACAAGTTTGTGAACGGGGCCTACTTTCGTGAGTCGGGCCCAAAGGTTAAGCACACTATAAGTCCGTTGAAGGAGAAGAACTTAATCAAGTTCAAACCGGGTTCGTATGCGGGTAGGCTCACACGGTATGCCGGTGCACTCAACTGCGTTGCTGGCAAATCATGTTAAAATTGTATACTTGGTAAATTGTTTTCGATTGTTTTCTTTGTGGTGAAGAAAACAGTTGGAGGTTGTGTAATTAGAAGTCCGAAAGGTTCAAAGGTGGATGAGACAGTATATGTGTCCCTTTCGTCTATGTTTGTTGCAACAGTTGAAATGGTTATGAAAAATATTCGACTTCTTGATTCTTCTTTTTCTTTTTCTTTTTATTTTTTCGAGCATATTGTTTTGCGTTTGTTAACATTTGCGTTTGAATGTGCCGCTCTATTTTCTTGATTGATCTGTCGTAGCTTCCTGCGAATGATACCAAGAGAATTTGCGGCAAGAAGCTAGGAATGGCATCATATCCACATGTTTCATATTTTAGGATTACTTTGTATATGTTTTTTTCTTTTTACATATTTTTTAATTGATTAACATATTTTTATTTTAATTATTTGTTTGTTTACCATTTTCTCTTAATTGTCACCTTGAAAAAGGAAAAAAGAAAAAGCAAGCATGATTGATATATGTGTGCCGGTTTAATGACATAGGCGTGATGTCAGCCTGATTTCCCCCCGAGTCGGTCTCCAACTTCGCTGAAATCTCGGTCAGCTGTCGTCCCCGCAACACCAGGAGGGGTTTTCCGGCGTAGAAGCTTCGACTTTTAGGTTTGAAGTGTAAAAAACCTTTGCTTGCGCGAAATCCCGACTCAAGGATAGCATTAATCTCAAATTTTATCAGACATTAATTCTCACAAGTGGTAATAAACTAGTTTTCTTGTTCTTCCAAGACAACGTATTAAATTAGTCGGAAGGATAATTTAGTCATATTTACGTATCTTACATAGTGGCGAAATCTTAAAAGACAGTTATATTGAAACAGAGAGAGTACCACATTAGAACAATAATTATAACATTTGAACACGAAAATTAGATGCCAAGTAATCTTCAAGATTTTCCTCAATGTTAATTGGTAGGAAAAGTCGGTACTCGAGTCGTCATTTTTTATGCGGACAAGTTCTTCTGTTGTGCCCTTTCTCTCCGCAAAGACCGCACGTGTACTTTATTTTCTCGACAAATTGTCCTTCAGCATTAGCATTAGCATTAACATTAGCAGCTGATTGTACTTGGGTTAGTTGAGGACACGTTCTTCGGTTATGACCAGTCAAACCACATATCTTGCAGTGATTTGTCCGACGAACTACGCTCCGTTTTTCGTTCGGCTTTTTCGATATTGGACATGTTCTTCTGTTGTGCCCTTTTTCGCCACACAATCGACATTTAAATCTTCTGTCACCGACGTTTACCTCAACTTCCGGACAGTAATTTATCCTGTGACCCTCCCCTCCACAGTTTCTGCAGTAAAATTTTATCCCTGCCAAAACGAATTTCGAAATTTTGGATTAACTTTTGAAAAGCGAAAACGTAGTAACAAGTTACCATCACTTTAGACGATTTAAGTAAAAAACGAACCTTTCATTGAAATGCTTCTCTTGTGTCGATTTTCAGGGTCGGAAAAGTAGTTCTTCATAGACTCAGAAGCATGCTTTCTTGCAGCAGCAGTCCCTTTAGTTTTCTGCTTAAGAAAAAATATCCAATGTAATTAATTATGCATTTATAACGATTTAAAAAAAAAAAAAAATTTATAACGCAAACTCATCATAATTAACCTTAATCGCAGCAACTCTTTGTGCATGGAGCGTAGGATCTCGATGGATTATCTTCATCCTGTTACTAATTATTCCAGTTCTGGCATTTAGGCTCTGCAAACATCCAACTGGACAAACAAAATTAAATTCGTGACCTGTCCAAATGGATTATAACGAACGGAAATATTAAAAATAAATAAATAAATAAATAAAACGGAAAATTCGAAGATTATAATAGCCCTTGCAAAGTGAGAGATATTGTACGATAAGGAAATTAATACAGAGTTTGACTAACTTTTAATGATCTGCTGATCTTCAAATTAACTTCAGAAGCAGAGGATCGATAAACGCGTTTGGTTTTTCTCCTCACGTCAAGCTTTATATCCAACTTGTCAACTTCGTCATCTTCCGTAACTTTTAGCGGAGAACTAGAAATTATTCACGTGTATGAATATTATTATTCAACCATCTACGGAAATAAAAAAACGCGAAATTGATGCTACCGTGCAGATGTTAAGAAATGGAGCATAATCAAGAATGGAGTTTCGACTAAATTATACCAATCTTGCATGCACATTATGCTTCTAAATTGAATATGGTTAGTTGCTTGTTCATTCATTAGTATCGTATAAAAATACCAAAGAAGAGAGATTTACGAAAGATATTTACACTGAACGGGCTTTCTCCCATGGTTGTTCGTCAATTGATTCCTCCCAGATAACACAATCTCCCACACACTGATTGCAGGTGACTATACCCTGTTACAAATCGATTAACAAAATCAACGATTGCACAAACAATTAATTGTAAGCGAAATAGATAATTTCTCACAATTCTTGAATTATTACACAAGTATGAAAAAAAAAAAACCGACACACTAAATTACCTTCCCATTACACAGTGAGCAATCTGGTCTGGACCTTTCGATTCCACATTCTGGACATTGTGTATAGCCTCGTCCCCTGCAACTCGGGCACGGTAATTCTCGTATATACAGACCGTTTGGACCGAACCACGATCTTGGCCTCGTTGCAGCGGAAGCAACCTTCCTACATTACAAATCAAGAATCAGCAACAACATTTTGTCGGGATCGAAATTTTCAAGAAAATCGATACATCTATCCCTCTCAAGAATTTTTTGCAGGTTCTTACAATATTATTTACAAAAGTGAAGCATGCAAAATAAACATAGAGAATCATAAAAATGCAAAAAAAAAAACAAAACCAAGAATTCGAAAAAAACTACCTCGGTTGTGGATCAGCAGAAAGTCCAAATAGGTCTTCAGAAGGATCATACCCCAACTGAAACGACAAAAGCCATCAAATAAAACGACATCAGATTTTCAAGAAAAAAACAAGAAAAATAAAAATTCTTGCATACACTCAGTTTGTCTGAAAACTTACATGGGGTTGTTTGAAAGATGAAGAACTATCGTTACTTGTTGAAGAGGTGATTGGGGAAGAGACAAAGCTCAAATTTTTCTTGGGATGTGGTAATAATATCCAATACCGGAGATTTTTGTTACTGTGCCTCCATTGATGGACCTTCAACCCTAACGATGATGACCACACAGTACACATTCTTTATTTTCTATTTTTTTAATTATTACTGAGGTGAAAATGTATATGTAGAGAGAGAAGATTTCTTGAACTCCATGGATGGTGTGAAAGATAGCAGCAGAGAGAGGGTACTGAGGAGAAAGATGATCAAGAACGAAATGTGTGGTCAGTATTTGACGGTAAAAATGGAGGGCGCCGTTTATTTTCTTCACCCCTTTTAACAGATTTAACTAACGGTAACGGTAATTCAACAGTGAAAATAAACATTTATTTTTTAATCATTTTCTTAAAGTAAATAATGAATTAAATTGATTATCCCAGAAAGCCTTGTACCAAAACCCTCTGATAAACCCTCTTCCCCAAAAGAGAAGTCCAACAATGGCGAACATCGCTAACCTGTGTGCAACAACCCCGGTGGCAGGCGGCGGAGTTTCAGCCATAAATCCACTGAAACTATCCTCCTCCTCGTGTAGCTCCGCCGTACCCACCTCTATCTTTTTCTCCAGAAGAAAAGATGCAGCCTTTGTCACAGCGCCACGTGTGAATCAATCTAGAAGCATCTCCTTTAATGTAAAATCTCAGTACATGACACCTCAAGAACAAAATCACCAGCAACAAAAGGCTCCTCCTTCTTATGATTCCCCTTTCCCCTCTCAGCCTGGTCAGTGAAAACCCATCTCCTCTTTAATTTTTTTTTTGTTCAAGATGTAATTTTCGCACATGGGTTTTGCAATTAGTGGTTTTTTGATGTTAAATTTCATGTCAATTTTCAATGTGTTTTAATGTTAATTATTTGCTTTATTAGACACGTTTTTACCCATTGACGTTGTGCGATAGTGTTCCGGTTTCTTATTGAAGTACTCTGCTTGTGTATTGTTTTGGTTGTTATTAGGGTTCCTGCTCGCAATTTTAGGTTCCCTTTTTTAGGGTTTCTCTTGGTAGTTTCACTAGATTTTCCAAGTGAAAACAAAGTCCATTTCCTCGAGAGTTAGTGTTGCGGTGGTGAATACACGAAGGATTTCTAATCTCGAATTATTCGTATAACAGGGCAGTTGCCACCAAGAGTTTACGTGGGGTACTCGATATATAAAGGGAAAGCTGCTCTTACTGTGGAGCCTCGCCCACCAGAGTTCTTCCCTTTGGATGTATATCTCTAGAACAATCCTAATGCCTCTTAGTTTTTATTCCCATCGTACTCTTCTCGTTCTTGGAATAGTGGAATTTCTTTATTATGTTTTTACTATCATCTTTTGTCGATGGAACAGTCTGGGGCGTTTAAGCTGTCGAAGGAGGGCTTTGTGTTACTCCAGTTTGCTCCTGCATCTGGTGTTCGTCAATACGATTGGAGTAGGAAACAGGTAAACAAATGCGAGTGTGGCACATGTATTTTCCATTGATTTTTGACTCGATGTGAACATAATGCAATGTAACGATCATGTTATTTGCACCCTCTCGATCCAATTTCATCGATTTTCCCCGATGAAAAGGTTAGGAGTATAGGATGTTAAATTTAGTAAATGGCTTATTCAGAATTAAATCGTTTCAGGAAGAACGTATATAATCGACCCATACTGATATTAGGAATCGGCTGTAAGCATGTCGATGGGCTTCACATGGAATCTTCCATTTTAAAGATTTTAATTGATTTTGTCCCAAATCTCCAGGTGTTCTCATTGTCAGTGACTGAAATCGGAAATATAATGAGCCTCGGAGCAAGAGATTCTTGTGAATTTTTTCATGATCCTAATAAAGGAAGAAGGTAATATCGATTTCCCGAGAATTTTTTCAATAGACTGAATCGAAATTGCCTGCTTCAGCAAATTTACGAGTTCACATCTGGTTTAGCGAGAACCTGTATTCGAACCCATGTATTTATATTCGTTTTTCGATTGATACCAAATTATCTGATGGCCATTTCCATTTGGGGTGATCCTTGATACGTTTTCGATTTTATCTGTTCACTGTCAAAAATATAAAAGAGCTTGCATATATTTTTTTTCCCATATCGTGTGATGTACGTAGTTATTACAACCTATTTATACCTTCTCGTAATTTTATTTGACTCGTGTAGTGATGAAGGTAAAGTGAGGAAAGTGTTGAAAGCGGAGCCCTTGCCCGATGGTTCTGGCCATTTCTTCAATCTCAGTATGCCCTAATTCCTCTCAAAATTCTGATAACGGCACTTTGATTACATCTTATCCTTTTATTTTAATTTTCGATTACTGGATAAATAAAAGGTGTTCAAAACAAGCTCACGAATGTGGACGAGAACATTTATATCCCCGTCACAAAGGCAGAGTTTGCTGTTCTCGTTTCGTCGTTTAACGTAAGCTGCTACTCTATCAATTCAATTCAATTCAATCAATAGCAATTACCTTTACAGTATGTTTTGTTGCTATCTTTAATTTACTTTTTTGAATCTTGATTGTGTTTTTACTTCAAGAACCAGAACCGAACACGCTTATAAGCAGTTTGCTAACTTGCACCGTCCTCTCTTTGCAGTTTGTTATACCGTACCTATTGGGCTGGCATACTTTTGCAAACTCGATAAAGCCTGAAGATTCAAATCGTGTAAACAGCGCCAATCCTAGATCCGGTACCGTCGACTACGAATGGAGCAGATAGTGTAACGGTTCACTATCAATTTTGCTTGGTAAGTAAACGCTAATATGTTTTCTTGATTCATTTTCTTTATAATGCTGAATATTGTGCCTAATCTTTTTAATCGAGCTCTTTTTTTGTTTCGATTGTTACTACTCTCTCTCTCTAAAATCTAAAGAATTATATACTTGATTACTCTTCCATCGGGTTTTAATCTGACAATAAGTAACATAATATTTTAGCTGGGCATCAGTCGTAAACTTGATTGACCCAATGAAGCATAATTCATATTCAAGAAAAAAATATCTAATGTAATGTTACATGATTCTGTACCGGGTCGAGTATTTAATCACTCGTTAGAGCACGAAACTGAAAAAAGAAAATAAATTACTCGAATAAGAAAAGATAGTGTCGTACAACGATTTTATGCTATTATAATGCCGTGTTCTGCTTGAGCTGGTTTTATGACATGTTTACCATTACCTTGACTTCGTATTTAAAGAATTGTCTTCGGACTAGTGGAAATATTTGAAGACTTGTTATTAATTTATTTTCAAAGTATATAATTTAATAACGTCGTCATTGTTTTGAATAATTAAAGCTACATACAAGTCAGTAGCCGTCCTTTTTCATGACTGTCGTTACATCGTCACGAAAACTTATATTTTCTCGTTGTTTATGTAGTCGTTTTATTTATAATAAGTATTTTTCCACCGGAGCAGGTTAGAATCTATTGATAAAAATTGTCATTTAGGTTGACTTTTCCACCGAAGTTGACTTAAGTAATTAACGGTAGTCGAATCTGAATAACCATGTTACCTAGTTTCTTGAATGGCCTTTGCACAACGAAACATTTAATCTCGTCAAATTACGAACGTGCTTTAAGTAAACCCCACGGGAATCTGACGAGACAAAGAAACATTTAGTTCGATGATGCCTTTTTAGGACCAGACAACCTTTTTATTTAAATTTGTTTCGGGCGATTAATCTATGACATGTTATTGGATTAATTAGCCCCCTATTAAATATTTCGGTTGACTTACGAGAAATTAGCTGGTGGTATTTGTTATAACACATGTTGTGCGTGAATATATAATAGACTCGTATCCAGGTTGATGTATAGAATAATCGATTGACCTTCATGCAATATATATAAGTAACTAACAACTTACGAAACCAATCCAATCACATTAGCTTCCTGAATTTATATATGCTCAAGTCAATCTAGTCTTAAATAAATCGAGCTAGCATTAAAAAATTAAATAAAAATAGGCTAGTCTCGTACTTGAATCAGCATCGATTGACCTGTTTCAATATGTTAACAGCTAGTTGTTGTTTTGTTTATTAAAGAATCCCACTGGATTTTGTTTCAATATTATTAATCGAGTTCTTCGTGGGGAAAGCGCGGAGTTTAATTATAATAAAATTGCAAATGGGACATTATTTGTTTAAGCTGTCATCCTACGTATTTACTCGATTTATGAGTTGTTGATTCTTATTGACTTTTTTTTTTTTTTTTTTTTTTGTATATTAAACTCGAAAAAAAAAAAAATATGATGTGGGAAAATTATGATCATGCTTAAGAAGTGCGGCAAGTTGGAAATTAAGTATATGATTGGCCAAATTATCGGACTTTTCTTGTTGGACGTATTCACATAGCCATGTTTTCGATCTCTGGATTTTTTTTCTGTTTAGCCGTATTACTGAGAATATTTATTTATATTTAAATGCAGGGTTGTCGTGAAGGTAGGACGAACGAATGGTTTGTTGTATTTAACGAACCGATTTACAATATGTAGGATTTAATATGTATGTTATTATATCGGAAGGTCGTTAAAGATTGAAAGTAATGTTTGTTTAGTAATTCGAGGTGTGACAAATTGTTTACTAAATATGTCAAATTTTGTACCTTTAATTAATTGGAGCAGTTTTGGGTCCTTGATGGCAGCACAGTAATATATATATATATATATATATATATATATATATATATATATATATATATATATATATATATATATATATATATATATATATATATATATATATATAT